GATGAGTGAGTGGGTCTTTGCCTCACCCTAAGGTCTGAACCTGCCCTGGCACCGTTCCCAATACTTTGGGTACTTGGAACTAAGGTCCTTATTCTAGCAAGTTCTTCTCCATATGCCCTCATAAGGAGAGTCTTGGCCATGAATTCAAGACAAATGAGGGGACACAGTACATATATTACTTCAGGTTGTGTCAGGAAACGTTAATCTCTTCTGCTTTTCATTATTCCTTTTGGAAAGGCAACTATTTGCCTGTACAACCTGTGAACCTGTGACCCTCTGCTGGGACAACCTCATTTTTGGGACTAGATTCCCACCACCCATAAAGTTCTACATGTCAGACTGGGCCTTAAGATGTATCTGCATCTGACACTACCGTGCCACCCACCCAGGGCACAGTCTTGACCCAGGAAAAACCCCTCTCAGTGCGCCCCACCCCCCTTCCTATCATTGCTTCCTTGGTCTGAGATGGATGTTTATGACCGGCCAATAAATGCAGTGATTCAGAGTGCAGAGTCCCCTCTCTTCTAACACACAGGGCCATGTATAGGTCTGGTGACTCTAAGAAGAATGGTGGAGCTTGCCATCAGCTCAAGCTCTGCCTCTTCATGGCTTCTCAGCTCAGAAGCTGGGCTGACCCCTCTTCTTTCTAATTAGTCCATCCACCTGTCCCTGCTGTCGTCTGTTTCCATAGTGTGAGATCGGCCTGCAAACACATCCATGGGCCTTGGGTTCCTTGTGCTCACTTTGCTTCTCAGCCTCCTCAGGCTGGGGTCAGGTAAGCCTCCAGGAAGGACTCTCTCTCTCTCTCTCTCTCTCTCTCTCTCTCTCTCTCTCTCTCTTCTTGTTGGGTAATGTTTTGAGTTCTTTAGCTACATGATCACAGCAGAATGAGATGGGGCATATTTCTTGCTTGTGTTTCCTCAACTTCTGTGCCAGGCTGACAAGTATTAATGCCAGTGGCTGTGGGAAACAGGGGCAGCGTAAGGGTCTCGGGCACTGTGCACACTGTGATAGTAGCCCAGGACTCACAGCAAAGAGTGCTGAAGACAAGCCTGGTAGTGGGGAGAAGACAGAGCAAGGATGTGAAAGTGAAATAATTAAATGTTTGTTCCAGATGTGCTGTGAAGTTTAGGCAGAGGGTCTCTACTAGGGCACCAGGTTTCTGACATGGGTACCGGGGTAGAAGGAGACACTGATTAGGATGTTTTGGGAAAAGATAATGGTCCAGCTGTGGACATGCTGAGCAGGAAACACCTGTGGTGTGTGACCTGAGGGTGGGCAAAGTTGTCCTGATCTGTTGAGTGAGGACTAAATTGTAACCTGTCATAGTCTGAGAGAACGTCCACTTTTCTTTCTTCTCATTACGACTGACATAAAGTCTGGTGTGTAGGATGTTGGGTAACTGAATAAAGTTCAGGGAGGAAGCTGGAGGCTGGAGTTGACCCCTGTCTCTGGACAGGCGGTGTCCAGTCTACAAGGTCCAGTCTGCACAAGTTCATTCTGTCACTCATCTGCTGTGTCTGTTGTGCAGATCATGGAAAAGAAGAGAGAAATAAGGGCAATCAAATCATGCTCCATGTTTCCACAGCAAAACCCATCTGTCTTGTTCACAGGACAGCCTCTCACTCAAGTTCATCCTCACCCATTTTCTGATGAGTTTCTTTGACTGTTTTGTTTCCTGGAGAGGCAGCAAGATGTGATAGAAATGACCTTAGAGGCAAAAAGACTTTATTTTGAATCCTCATTTCCTCTGCTTATGAACTTTGTGGCTCACAACCCTGCCAGGTGTCAGTGTGCTCCTTGTGACAGGAGATGGCATCACACCCTGATCAGGCTGCTGTAGCGATCACATGAGTTCATGTAGGAGGAGCAGAGCACAGCGTTCCATTAGCACAAAGCCTGTGTTCAACGACAGACAGTTTTTCCTCATTGGTTCCTGGGGGAAGGAAGAGTAAAGGGTGTTAGGAGCTGTTGTAGACAAGGAAAATGACAGCAGCAGTTAGGGCTGGTCAGAGGAATAGAGACACTCCAGGGAAAGGTTCTCTCAGCCCAAGAGCCTCCCACAGCCTTGAAGGCACAACAGCAGAAGCCCAGCTGACCTATGCTGAGCCCTCAAAGCAGAGCAGGAACAAGGGTCTGAGTGCAGGTGGGCTGGTGAGGAGGTGATACTGGGAACAAAAGTGAGAGAGAGGAAAAAATGAACCCAGAAGGGAGGAAAACCAAACAGAGTATTCTAAGGAGCAGATTACTGACATGGAAACACTTTCTAAGGGGCCACATAGATGGCAACCCAGAATCATCTCAACATCCATTGCCTCCTGCCCCCACTGGGGACTGTACTCCCACTACTGTTCATTCTCAGCACTTCTGGGCTGCCTTGCACCAGAATGAGCAGGTTCCAAAGGGCAGAGAAAGCCCTCAGCAGGGAGCAGAGGCCAGGCTCTTGGGTGGGGCCTGGGACATGCCCAGCCCACTGCAGGAGGACTCAGGGTGGGGGTGAGGGGCAGCACTCAGTGTCTGCTAGGCCAGGTCAGTGGCTCAACAGAGATCCTGCTGCAAAGTCAAATCTTATATCATAAGACTCTTCTTCAAAAGCATGAGCGAAATACCTTTCAGGAAGAATTTAAAAACATATTTAAAGTAAGAAATAATGGGTGCTAAAGTAAAAATATTTACTTACTTGAAAATAAATGATCCCTGGTTGAATTTCCACATGTTTGAAAAGGAAATTCACACTGTGACCAGCTTTTCTCTGGAGTATTCGCACCCCACCACATTTATCTATGCACATATCAGAACTGCACATATGTGAATTAATCAAGAGACATTGCCAATCAAAGAGGTGTGTTCAAGAAGATAAAGGGAGTAAGCCTCCATAGTTTGTGATCTCTGTAAAGAAGAAATATAGTCATTACAAGTGATCAGAGTGATTTATAGCAGGAAAATTAATGACATGATCTTAGCAAATGAGCAAGTGGCAAAGAAAAAGGTGCTCATCATTCATAATGGAACTGCTTTCTGTGGAGCCCATGCTCCAAGCTGAACACCGTGCTTGGCCTGGGGGGTGCTGTACTGAGCAAACAGACAGGCCTTGTCTTCACAGAGCTGATAGTCATGCAGGAGAGACTCGCAGAAAAGTAATACACATTCCAAACAAGATAATGAAGAAAGTTTCAAAATGAAAATAAGGGCAAAGCTGCACCCAGAAAATAGAGACAAATCAGAGGTAACACCTGTTGGTAAAGCTGAATGAAGCTTCGTTCAGGCCAACATTACAAAGTGGAGAAAAGAAATTGTTACACAAGTAAGAAAGTACACTGCATGGAAATGAGAGACAGCAAGAATTCACTGAAGAGAAAATCTATGAAGTAAAAACTGCAAAATCTCTTTGTGTCATATATGTCTCTCAGAATTTGGCAGAACAAGTAGATAAATAAAATAATGAAGCACAAATAAAGGTTTAACCTATGGACAAAGACATTCCTTTTTNTGATAAGTGTGATTTACAGCAGGAAAATTACTGATATGATCTTAGCAAATGAGCAAGTGGGCAAAGAAAAAGGTGCTCATCATTCATAATGGAACTGCTTTCTGTGGAGCCCATGCTCCGAGCCGAACACCGTGCTTGGCCTGGGGGGTGCTGTACTGAGCAAACAGACAGGCCTTGTCTTCACAGAGCTGATAGGCATGCAGGAGAGACTCGCAGAAAAGTAATACATATTCCAAACAAGATAATGAAGAAAGTTTCAAAATGAAAATAAGGGCAAAGCTGCACCCAGAAAATAGAGACAAACCAGAGGTAACACCTGTTGGTAAAGCTGAATGAAGCTTCGTTCAGGCCAACATTACAAAGTGGAGGAAAGAAATTGTTACACAAGTAAGAAAGCACACTGCATGGAAATGAGAGTCAGCATGAATTCACTGGAGAGAAAATCTATGAAGTAAAAACTGCAAAATCTCTTTGTGCCATATATGTCTCTCAGAATTTGGCAGAACAAGTAGATAAATAAAATAATGAAGCACAAATAAAGGTTTAACCTATGGACAAAGACATTCCTTTTTTGTGCCATTGAAGCCTTCACAAGACAGAGCATGTATTTGAAGGGAACAAATTGCCCCAAACTGGAGATTTTATTGTTAATAATCCCCTTTTGGAAAATGGGTTATCTTTAGTTTTTAGCAAAGAACATGAAAAGGGGCTGTTGTGAGTGTGTGGTGACGCAGATGGGCAGGGAGGAGAGAATGTGGGTATAGATTCTCCTCCCATCAGAGGTCAGCATTTGGGAAGTGCTCTCATGCTCCTGATTAACTTTCTCAGTCTCTCTGAGACATTGTGTTCTCATCTTGGAAATGGGAATATCAATAACATAAGCCTGTTGGGATGTTTGTGAAGACAGAATGAAGTAATGGATGTGGAAGTGCTCTATCAAGTGTAAGAAATGTACAGATTCAGGTCACTGGTTTGGAAAGGAGATAATGTGGCTGTCACACCCTTGGGCTCACACAGCCATGAGTAGGACACACTGAGAGGGTCTTTGCTCAGTTATCTCTTGTGCTTCCTTCCACAGGCCAGTGGCAGGTGATGGGACCAGACAAGCCCGTCCAGGTTGTGGTTGGGGAGGAAGCAGTGTTCTCGTGCTTCCTCTCTCCTAAGACAAGCGCGGAGGCCATGGAAGTGCGGTTCTTCAGAGATGAGTTCCGGGCTGT